CCTGGAGAACCCCAGATCCCCACAGCCTGCCCACAGGGGGACACGCCAGCAGCAGGAGGAGGAGGTGGTTGGTGCCCAAGGGTGGCAGAGAAGTTTCCTCCTCCTCCTCCTCCTCCTCCTCCTCCTCCTTCCTGGGGAACGTTCTTGATCTTTCCGGGACAAAGAGTGCTCCGTCCCCTCGGGTCCAGCCCTTTCAAGGTGCGTGGCTCTGGCTGAGGATCTAATGACACCCTTGGCTCCCTGGACCTGATTTTCGGCGCGGAGCTGCCGGGGATCCAACCGTTCAAAGGCGAAGGGCGCTGCCCAACGGGATGGGCTGCTTGGCTGCTTGGCTCCCTGCCCGAGCCAAAACAGTGCCAGGAGCCACGTGGGGATTCCCGTGCCGTGGGAATGTCAAAATTCCAGCCCTCGTTTTGGGAAAAGCATCTTTGGAGCGTTCTCCCCCTTGGTTTCTCCCATATGTCCCCACCCTGTGCGACGGCAGAAGATCTTCGGGGGTGAAAGGGTGGTTACAGCAAACAGGGGCGCCCCGAAGAACTAAACCCACGGGCTTGGCTCACCTTGGGTCACCCTGGGGTGGGGGAAGGCAGAGCTACTCACGGGCGGCGTGGAACACCCGCGCCTTGTCCGCGTCGCTCTCGGGGACGTGCAGCACCACCGGGTACTCGGCGAAGATGGCGCTGGGGCCCTGGGTGCGCAGCAGCATCACCGACATGTCCTGCAGGTCTGCGGGACACAGGGGACACGGAGGGAGGGGATGGCAGTGGGGGAAGCCCCCAGGGAGCCCCTCGGGGTCACAGCCCACCTGCCAGGGTCCGTATGTCCACCTCGCCGCTGTCCGTGCCCCCCGCGCCGGGGCTGTCCCGGTCACAGTTGACCAACAGCACGGCCCCTTGTCCGTCCGGGCCCCACGTCCACTTGGCCTGGAGGAGAAGCACCGAGAGGGGACGGCAGCAGGGTTTCCCCCGTCCTGGGCCGAGGAGAGCCCCGTGCTCGGAGGAGAACCCAAGGAGACACCGGCGCCGCTCCAAACCGCCCCGTCCCAGCGGCAGCTCCAGCAGGGCCTGCACGGACCGCTCCGAGATTTTATCTCCCAACCAGGCTGGAAGTGCCTCCAGCCTCGCCTGGACACGGCTGCAGCGCTTCTGGAAGCTCAGCCCATCTTGATACCAGTTTGCGCCACCGATCGGGCTGCGGTTAATTAGCCCAGCTGGGCTGCGGTTAATTAGCCTGGGTTAAAGGCCAGGGCACAGGCAGATGTGTGGCCAAAGGGGGAAATCTCCTGCTCGACTCAGGAGATGAGAAGAGAGAAAGGAGATGGAAGAGAAAGGCAAGAAAAAGCTGAAAGTTTTCTCCCACAAGATCCTCAGGACCAAGCTGGAGCCGCAGGAGGTTTGGCGTGGAATAGGAAAAGAAATCCTTTTCCCGCTCAATTAGTAGGCTGAGGATCTGCCGGGCTGTTTGCCCTCACGCAGACACCACCCAGGTCCCTGTCCCTCCTGGAGATTTTCCAGGAAGAGGCCAGCGACGGATCCGCCCTCCCACGCCGCTCTCCTCACCTTGTCCTTGCCCTTGCTCTTCACTCGGCCGCTCCGGCTCCAGTCCACGTCCAGGGACACCTCTGGAACGGCGAGAGGGAGGAAGCCACAGGCAGGGGATGAGGTCTTGGAGCCATTCTGGGCTCCTCCTTGGCACCCCACTCCAACCCCACCTCAACCCCCCAAGCTGCTCCACGCCCAACGATTCCAACGAAGCAGGAGAAGAAAACACAACCCAACAGCTCTACCGTGACTTGCCCTCTTTGATCTCCACCTGTCTCCTCTCACTTTGGTTTCCCCCCAGCAGGACATCCCCACTTCATGGTAGATTTTACATTTTCATTGTGTTTTTCTCATGGCAGAGTTTGTTTTCATGCCATTCCTTATGTTTTCATGGCAGATTTTATGTTTTCATGGCAGATTTTATGTTTCCTTGGCATTTTTTACGTTTTCACCTGTTTCCCATTGACTGTTTTCCACGAAGCCAAATCACGGTGGAGGCACAAAAATGCATTTTCACTGTGGTTGAGCAAACACCCAAATAATTTTTAGGAAATCTGGACTTCTCCTCACAGAGCCCTTCTTGCCCCAAACCCCACCTCAACCCTAACCCAAAACCTCCTCCAGATGGGACACACAAGGCGTGGAAAACACAGGGATGGAAGCAGAGATTGTTCTCCTTGGGGCAGAGAAGACAACGTGGAAGAGCCGGGAGGGAAACTCGAAATCCAACCGAGAGAAGAACATTTGGAAGGCAAAATCCCTGTGGCCAGTGATGGCCCCAGTTGGCTCCAGCGAGGCCCATCGGCCACGGGACATGGGATTCAGCTTCTCCAGGGGTAATTTTGGGAGGCGTAGGCACAACTTGAGGACACAGGTCAGACTGTCATGTGAACGCTTCAGAAAATCCCAAATTTAGGGTAATTAATCCATCCCAGTGGAGACTTCTGCTCCCAGACTGGCTGTCTAGACTCCCTTTGTAGCCAGCAGGGGAGAGCAGGCATTTGGAGGGAGTGATTCACCTCACCCCAAACTCCTGAAACAGGTCAGGCGCCGCTTCGGTGCCGATCCCGCTCCCCTCGCTGCTGGAGGAGGCACCGGCCGGAGCCGGGCGAGGAGATCTCCCATGGATCCTCTTTTCCCAAGGAATCACCTTGGCAAGCACGGGAGGATGCTCCTGGGTGGGGACACGGCCCAGCCTCCATCTCTCCCACACCATAGAAGGCAGCGTTTAATTAATCATGGTTTAATTATTCTCCTCTTGCTCATCAGCATCAGTAAAGCACCCAAGCCTTTATTGCCTGTGGCCCCCGAGGAATTGTGACCTCGTGAATGCAGCCAGATCCCAAGAGACCGGGAATTCCCGGAGCCTTGGTGGGCACCTACCGACACAGGTGAGGTACAGCCAGGCCACCGCCAGCTCGCGGCCCTCGCGGTCGTAGTAGGCGATCTTCACCTGCAGAGAC